ATGTTATTGTTATGTTACGTGCAAATACTGTCTCTATCAAAGAGAATTGATTTTTTTCTTTTTCTCTACTGATTTTATATTTATGTCATTCGCATGATCTTCAACAAACATTTAAGTACAATTGGGATTACAGTAATGTCTCTCCAATTGACGCCCAGATTGCGCACAAAACTGGACAATTTGAAAAGAGAAGATACGATTATTCGAGCCTTGCAGTTCGTTTTCATAGATACGAATTATCGACAACTATAGAAAGCTGCAAGGCTCGAATAATCGTATCTCCACTTCCCAAATTGTCCATTTCTGTGGACAATCGGAGCGTCAGTAAGGGAGACATTACTGTACTCTCCCATTATTTCGAAATATGCTTCTTCTTGAATCTCGTGAATATCATTCTTACTTTGGTGTTTACGATCTTTTTCCCGAAACCTCAGCAAATTCGACAAATTCGACGAAAATGATCCGGTATTTTTCGCGTAGGTGCGATACTTTCGCTCGGCGGTAAAAGGGCTAGGAACTATCGAAAACGTAGCAAGCGAACCGAATGAAGTGGCCACGCGTTCATTCCGCGTGGATTCGAGTGCAATAAGGTTACAGACGAGCGGATTCGTTGGTTGATCTCCTCGATCGTATAGGCCGACGAGCGACACATTCGTTACTGTACCACATTTCAATTCTGGCTTCAGAAATATTTCGAAGGAACCTTCGATGTTAAGCTGGACTCGATATAAACAATAATCAAAGAAAATTGATAGGTTATAGGGTGTGTAAAATTAATATGACAATGTTAGCATACATGTATGTATTTTTCTACGTTGCGTAACATTTTCTGTCGAAAAGTATATTGAAATAACTTTCGGTAATTACCGATTTATTATAACCGATTTCGATGACCGTAGAACATGTTGCGAAGGTCGACATTCCGGATTCTTCGGTTCTATTTACGTTACCGACGCTTGCGAGAGAAACATTCTTTAGAACAATAATCTTCGCAACACGTGCCACACGCGAAATCGATTTCAGACTAATATTCTATCGCGTCAAGTCCGCGAAAGAAGAAAGAAATCCGAAAAGGGCAAGTCTTACCGCTTGCACTCCCAATATAATCATGTCCATCAGCACCGTGCAGATGTCGTCGGAGTGTACGCCATCGGCTAAAAGAAGTTTCTCCAGAACAGGCGACTCCTCTTCCACGCTTTCCGTTCTATTCCCTAAGAAAGGCCGGCTCCGAAGTTTGTTTTGCGCTTGGCGGACGTGCTTCCCGATCAATCTGACAATGGAAAGTTCGATGAAACGTTTTCAAGTTTCTTTTTTTTTTTCAAATTTTTCCGTGGTTCCACGGCAGCCTCTCACCCGTCGAGAACGTCGCAGGCCCCGAAGAGATTCTTGGCGAACGGTGTCAGAAAGAACCGCCAGACCTGGAAACCCGTTTCGCAGCGATTCATGTACTTGTGGGCGGTTGCTACCGCGCTGATGATCTGCGACGGCTCGGAAGTTACGTTGTAGCCAGCTGTATCCAAAAAGCCCACGTGTTTGTTGAAGACGATCGTCGAGAAGCACTCCATGGCCCAACGCATCACGTCCTCGTGGAAATCGCAGGGCACCTGTCGATACAAGGTCAAAAGGTACATTTGAGATCTACGGTAAATTCTGGCTAATTCGCGATCAGATTGCGCACAAGAATGGATAAGTTGGGAAGAGAAGATACGATTATCGGAGACACTTGCGGCTCGTTTTTATAGTCGTTGACAATCGGTAACTATGAAAACGTGTCGCAAGGCTCGAATGATCGTATTTCCTTTTCCCAAATAGTCTAGTTTTGTTTACAAGCTGAAGGAAAATTAGGGAGGATTTACTGTAATGTATTAAAAATACTCTTGGGAACCCTTGAATCGACGCTTTCTTTCTTGAATATATGCTTGCTAGCACTTTTGGAATTTAGCGCACTAAAAACGTATTTGCAAACCCTCGAATTGATGCTTTATTTTTTGAATGCTTTATTATTTATTTCAGCTTGCATCTCGTTTTTATACTCGTTGACAATCGGTAACTATGAAAGCGTGTCGCAAGGCTCGAATAACCGTATCTCCTCTTCCAAATTGTCCATTTTTGTGCACAATCTGAGCACGAGTTAAAATTTACTATAATTACGAATATTATTTACTCTCATCGAGTCAAAGTGCAAGAATCACAGTGAATTCTCCCTAATTGACGCTCAGCTTCTGACCGAAAATGGACAACTTGGGAAGAGGGGACACGATTATTCGAGCCTTGCACTTCGATTTTATAATTGTTAATAATCGTTGGTAACTATAATCGTTGGTATAATTGCTGGTAACTATAGAAACGAGTCGCAAGGCTCTAATAATCGTATCTCCTCTTCTCAAATTGTCCACTTATGTGCGCAATCTGAGCGCGAATTAGGGAGAAATTACTGTACAGCCTTTCAACGATTAAACCATTAAATTTAACTATGCTTGTAATCCTGATTATTACGTACTTCGTCCTGCTTGTTGCGAGTCTTGTATATCCTGGCGATCAGTTCGTCGCAGACTAAATCGATCTTGCCAAAAAAGGTGGACGCCATGTTCTTGAAATCATTTTCGACTTTCTCCCTTATTTCGAGCCAGTCTGAAGCCTGCCTGAATCAACGTAAGAATAACCCGTGTTTCGAATAGAAAGATCAACTACCAAGTACAACTTGGTTTACTAGTTTACTTTATGAAGTGCACTAACAACGAGAAGGGTCCAGCTAGGCGGTACTTCCGGTGATGCAAATGATAGTGCTGCAATATGTCAATTCCGCTGCGAACTGGCGTGTCTCCTTCCTGCTTGAACACTTCGGCTATGTGTTCGGGTCTGAAGTAATGAGATTGTATTAAAACTTACTTTTAATATAATTTTAATTATAATAACTTTAATAATTTAAAATAATTTTAATTAATGAAATTATATTAAAACTTACTTTTAATATAATTTCATTGCTATTATTGAATTATTAATTTTTATTAATATTGAATATAATAATAATAGTAATATAATTTTTATAAATTTGATTTCTGTCCTTAATAATTTTAGAAAGTTCTTAATTTCTTTGTACCATTTTACCGTTTTAAATTTTATTCACTCGCTTTTACCAAAAATCCATACAATCTAATAGATTTTAAAGAGTAAAAGGATTCAAAGAAACTAAGAACTTTCTAAAATTATTAAAGGAAGAAATCAAAGTACACTTGGCTCCTATATTTTGGAATTGACGCAGAACATTTATATCCGCGATCCAGTTATTAAACATCGTAGAAGATTTCAGATATCGACACGAGGGTTAAAAACATGAGATGATAAATGTCACCTATGGATCATAACGATATCCCCTGAAAGAGGTCCATTCACTCTGACGATACATCCGTATTCATTGAAGAGATATTTCAGTGGTGTGACGTTGCGATTCCAGGACAGACGACCTGCAACACATTTGTAGCTGATTAAACAATTTTCATTGCCGAATTCAAGTGTTAATAATTTGTCGTATGAAGAACTATTTCAAAAAAAGACCTGTCTATATTTCAATTTCCTAAGTATTTATATAGAAGGAGTGTGCGAGATTCCGCAAATATCGGGAACATGATACATTTAGGACGTCAGAACATTTCGAGATTTCCGAGAATATTCGGGTTTCTTGAAAATATCGAGATTCTCGAAAATATTCGGCATTCTCAAGACTATTGACGTTTACGAAATTCGTGCGGACTTATTCAAAAAATTTATCAGATTTATCAAGCTTTGAAAATGGAGCGAAAATTGCACATTAATTATACAGGGTGTCTTAAAATTATGATATTTCCGGGAAATGAGGGGTTCCTGAGGTGATTCGAAGCAACTTTTTCCTTAGCGAAAATGCAATCCGCAGCTTCGTTTACGAGTTATTAACGAAAAGCAATGACCAATGAGGGGCGAGCTCGCCTGGCGCTAGGCGGCCGTGCCAATGATCGGTCGAAGCCTCGGTTCGGCGCATTGGCTCGGTCGCCGAGCCAACGAGTGCGCGAAGCCCAGTTCCGCTGATTGGCTCGGCCGCCTCGCGCCTACTCAAGCTTTCCTCTCATTGGTCAACGTTTTTCGTTAATAACTCGTTAACGGTGCCTCGGAGAAAAATTTTGTAAAGGAAAAAGTTGCTTCGAATAACCTCAGGAATCTCTAATTTGCCGGAAATACCATAATTTTGGAAAACCCTGTATATATGCACAAGAAATTATTCTAAAATATTGATTTTGTAATTCTCAAAATTATCGCCAACTCCAACACTTTTCAGATTTCCAATGTTTTCGAGAAACCCAACATTTTGGAATAGTGTCCGGGAACCCGATCCGGTCACGATCGAAATTCCCGACTCGGTCCGCCATTTTCAAGTTCATGCGCACCTCTGATAACCTGTTATTGGTATCAGAGAAGCTGCATTTATGCAAAGTATTTGACTTCTCTGATTTTTCGAGTTCCCGAGAAATGATCGCCAGATAGCTTCGTCGTAGATTATCAATGCCGATAACGCCGCATAATTCGAAAAGTGATACTGGGATCTTCGGGTTCCGACCTATCGGTACTTCAACAGATCGTACCCTGGGTGAATCTGTTGATTAGCAGACTGGAAAACAGTTGCGTACCGAGGAGCGGCACGTATTTCCAATACTTCTCCCAAAGCTTTAGGATCGCGGGGCCAGGTATCTCTTCGAACGGCAACGGGGATTTATCGACGGTAATCGACGGATCTATCCTATGAGTGGACACCTCGAAGGTGGCCGCGGAATCATCGATCGGATCCAATAAAGGAATCGCGTCTGTGCGATTCAAGGTGTCCGTGACGACGGCCGTTTGACTTCGCGCCATCGACGCAGCTGAAACATCGTTGTCGTTTTCACCTCGAGCGCAACTTTCGAACGTTATATCAACCCTTTGTACTCGAAGGCGAATTAACGCAAAATTTAAAATAGTTCTTCCGACCCACGGATTTTCCATTTTATACGATCTAGTGCATTTCGTGCATATGAAATTAAATATTGCAACGCTGCCTACGCTTTCAACGGCTCTTTAAATATAAACAGATTTGATTAATAGAATTATTTTGTGCGCCTCGGAATCGCCACTCGAGTGCAAAGGGTTAATCGGTGTACTTACAAATGATGTCGGAAGCATTGAGATTCAAGCATTTCTGGTCCTCGTTCGCTGTCAACAACTTCGACATCTTCATTGCCGAACACTTTCGCGGCATGGTCGCGATTTTTGGGAAAATTCGTTGCATCGCGATCGCAGTTAATTGATTCTGTTATAAATGTTGCAATAAGCGATCAACGTACTGTATAGATCTCTAACCACAAATTTCTATTCTTATAGATTATTTTATAAATTAAAAATTTCGCCTTTTTCGGAAAAATATCTTTCGTTGCTAGAATAAGACAAAGGTAATAATTGATAATTCTTATTAATGTAACACGTTTTTCTGACTGATTGGATGCAACGAGTGAAAAGTATGAAGTTTAACATGAAATTACAGCAGCTACAAATTTATTTCCGACTTCGATAATATTCGTAAGTTGGAACAACGGTAACAACTTCTCGCGACAAAATGGGTAAATCGAATGGCAAACGTTGCTCACCAGCGTACCTTATTTAATAGAAAATTATTTGCTTCTTTGTGTCTTATTCCTATGACAGCCGACGTTGCGAGAAACAACGGAATCAGTTGCCTCGGCAGCGAGCCTTCTGAAGCTGATCCGACATTATCCGGTGCAATTTCAGATTTGTCGCGTGTCGACGAAAGATATAATCGCGATTACTAATCACCAAATCACTCGGTTTTATAGAAACTTTATTACAATTAAAATTTTATCGTCACAAATTACAAGCTATTATTATTACGTTTAATGTGTATAATACATCCCGATGTTCAAACGTCGACTTCGATCTCGACGTCCTCTTCGTCCTCCGAAACAGTCTTTTCTGCGGTACTTTTCGCATTATCCTTCGTTAATTTCCTAGTTGTCGTATCCTTCTGCGTGTCAGGATTCGTCAAATTATTAGTGTCGCTATCTTTCGTGTGCCGCCACTTCATTCGTCGGTTTTGAAACCAGACCTTCACCTAAAAATATTAATTATTCTCACAATCGTAACCTCCTACTTTGTTTGCAATTTATTTATTTTTAGCAATTTACGATTTTATAATTTCGAGCGGATTTATAAAAGGAAAGCTTCAATCAGCGTTCAATGAAAAGTCTCAATTTCCTTTAAATTCGATCGAAATGCTATTTAATAATTGCTATTAATTGCTAATATTTTTGCTGATATTTAATATACGCTATTTTAATATTTTAACAATTATAACCTCCTATCTTTTGCAATTTATGATTTTATAATTTCCAGTTGATTTCTAAAAGGAATCAGCGTTCAATGAAAAGTCTCAATTTCCTTTAAATTCGATCGAAATGCTATTTAATACTTGCTATTAATTGCTAATATTTCTGCTAATATTTAATATACGCTATTTTAATATTTTAACAATTATAACCTCCTATTTTTTTGCAATTTATGATTTTATAATTTCCAGTTGATTTCTAAAAGGAAAGCTTCAATCAGCGTTCAATGAAAAGTCTCAATTTCCTTTAAATTCGATCGAAATGCTATTTAATACTTGCTATTAATTGCTAATATTTCTGCTAATATTTAATATACGCTATTTTAATATTTTAACATTAATATTTGATCGTTATTCATCGACGAGGAAATATTGAAAAGTTTCTCGAGAAACAAATCGTAAGATATTAGGATTCGTGGATTAGTTAATAACACATTAATTAATAACACATTACCTGCGCATCCGTGAGCCCCAACGTCGCTGCAAGCTGCCTCCTGTCCGGTTTCGTTATGTATTTTTGCAAGGTAAATCGTCTTTCCAATCCTTTCCTCTGCAGCGAACTGAAAACTGCTCTGGACCACGATCTTTTCCGTCTCTGGCTCGCCTCGGGTTGATGTTGTTGTTGATTGTTCTGCGTCGTAGTGGGTGTTATTGGAGCTACTGATCATAGCATTTCTGATTATTACACGAGACGTTCAAACATTTCGGGCTTACTGAAATTTAACGTGCAGATCATCGAAAACTCTTCGCTGTTCGAACTGTTCTAAAAAAAATATACTATCGTCTTTGGACTTTGGAAAGGTCTACAAAATCGTTCTGCATAGAAATCATACTTCTTGAACTGTTATCAAAGAAATTCATACAATTTTGTGCTCGAAAAGGTTGAATAAAACGCATAGAAACTCTGCATAAGAATTGTTTTTCTTAAAGAATTCTTTTTCTATCCATTATTTTACTAACACTACGCCGTCCGCAGATCTTAGACATGATTCTTTTGTTTGACGCCGGCATAATAGCTTGGAAATCTTAGATTTTAAAAGAAATTTCGAAGATGGCGGTAATATAAATTCCTAAAATTAAGATAAGTCATGCAAGAATTTTCGTACTTGATTCTTAGTTAAATAAGCACGATGCTACAGTTAGTTTTCTGTCTTTCAACACCCAAGAGATATAGTTCAAATGTTATTTCAGTTCTTTAAAATGGCACCGAAATGGTACCACCGGCGTACAACAGATAATTTTTGCATAGTACCAGCCTGGTGCCGCCGGACGGCATAGCGTTAAAACCATTAAAATATGCACGTATAACTTTATCTTATTTCACCGACGCGACGTCCCATACTTCACAGTTGTGTCATGCGGTAATTATATACGCGAGTGAAAAAAACACTGTGCGAATAATAAAATCTGCAGCAACGAAATCTTTCGTGCAACTGGTAAGACGGTATCGTTCGTTCTTCTCGATTAAGAGAAGGCTTCGCTTTCTATTCACAAAGTGGAATCGTACGGGGCGGGTGTATTCGTCGCCGATGCACAGAACGAAGATCACAAATTAGAGGAGGATGCGACGCGATGTAAACGGTAGCTTAAGCTGGCGGGTGTCTGTTTCAACAGATCCTAGCCCCGAACAAGAGGCCCCCGCGATTGGGTACTTCTGGCTGATTTACAGCCCTACAGAATGTATACAACATGTGTACGAATTTAAACAGTGCGGTTCCCTCTCCGGTTGGTACGGTCCTCCCAATGAATTGGACGGGCAAGATCATAGTTATTTCGGGAGACGGTTTCGGCCTGCGCTCGTCGAAGGTGCGACTACTACGATTGACGAATCCCCGTTTTCGCTTCATTAACTGAATTCATTTCGATCCGAGCAGCGTGGAATTGTGCGCGGATGGATAAAACAGTCGAATGTACGTTGATGTCATGGTTAAATTCTTTGCGATCTGGTTACGGTAAATTGTCTCCGATTGTAAACATGCTTGTGAACAGAAATGAACAATTTGGGAAGAGGAGATGCGATTATTTGAGCCTTGCACCTTGTTCTTTTATTACTGTTTATTATTGTTGACAATTCTTGTTGACAATTGGCGGCTACGAAAAGGAGCCGCGAGACTCGAATAATCGTTTCTTCCCTTTCCATATTCCAAATCCTGAACTGTTCATTTTTGTGAACAAGTTGAAGGGAAATCGGGGAGAATTTACTGTGCTTTGAAAATAACGAGAAACTACACAGGGCGCTCGTTAGAGTAATTATAATGGTTCAATAATTACGGAGATGGTATTCAATGGTCAATTTTCACGTGACAAAATTTTGTTCGAATTTTTGAAACGGCGAATTTCCTTCATTATGTTCCTCAACTTCAAGGAATGACAAATACAGTTGGTAAAAAAGTATTTCATACACAATAATTTTTTTTAAAACAGCTCTAAATGACTCGAATTTTATTTTGGATGATAGAGGGATTAGTATACTAGACAATGACTAAAATGCTTTGTTTATAATTTTGCTCTTACTTGGGATGACAAAAGAAATCATAAAAAAGCTCTCAATTTTTAACTTCTTTGATCGAAATCGATTAATCCAGAATCGAGATACGAGATGCGGGAGAAAGAATCGCCCCGGCACCTTTGTATAACGATGCCAGACCTATTACATAAGAAAAATATAAGGATTTGGAGCAGTTATTATCTTATACACCTTCAAAACACTGCTACGTAAAGAGCATAAATAAATAATAGCAATACCTTATGCTAAGTATAACAATATATAAATATAATTAACGTTAAAAATAAAAAATGCTACTCCTATTTTATTCCTTGTTATTATTTATAAACAAAATTAGATTAATACAAAATACATTTTATAAGTGATATTTAATATTTTATAATTGAAATTTAATGATCTTTACAATTGGCTAATTATGAAAATGGTGCAAATCCATTTACAGCCCGTAAATATATATTACTTTAGCTAAATTCGTCTCAAAGAAATTTATATAATTAAATCACATATTGATAAATTAATATAATATTTTTCAATAACTAATTTTTATATTTTTCAATTGACCAATATGCTAAGCTTTAATTTTCTCTAACAAAAAATGGACTTGCGACGCCTTCAAAATAAACGGTCCATATTTTATTTGGGAATAAAATGAAAGACGATCGATAATAAACTGTACTAGCTAATTTATAATTCCACAACAAGACGTTGAATTTTCGTGACAGAGCTCCTTCGATATTCGAGATGGTACCGCGATTAAATACAAATTTTCGAGCTTCAACTAACCGAGCAAGGGTCACGACGAAACCGCTGTTTACACGGCGCGTAAACCAACGGTGGCACTTAAGATGTCGTTTAAACACGGACAGGAAACACGAGAATACACTGGCGCGTAAATATTTTGCCCTACTTGCTGCAGAGTATTCCAGAGACAAGAACAGTGGCCCATATGGTCGCATTTGTTAATGACGCAACATTCGTTTCACGAGCGTTTAGGGCACCGGCAATGATTTCCGCTGCCGTAAGATTGATCGAAAGTCTAAACGACCGCGAACCAGAAAGGGGGAGGGGGGGTCTTTGAATTAACGATTAGCCGGCTCGATCTGTCCGCGCGACGACTAATTGTTAGATTTAACAATAGAAGATACAATTGATAATAAAGTCACAGTTTCAACTGCATATGCAAATCTGTCAAACAAGACCGATTATTCTGACAGGCATCGACAAGCTTTGCTTGATTTCGAATGCGTTGAAATCTTCGTCGCTTTGCTCTGTCACTTTCGTCGAAACTATCCACGATAACGTCGCACTGGTTGCGGTGTCATCGATGTCAATAAATATTATGAAATGAATATCGATGCAAACTTTGCTTGTCATTGTGAAATAGTTAAAGTCTTCGTTCAATTCTGTACAAAATGCTAAATGAAATATGACGATTGGACCGCGGGTTTCGTGCATTTACGACAAAATAATGTAGATCGAATGCAGCAGAGTAAAATAAAAAAAAAGAGTCAAATCACAAAAAAGGAGTTAAACCATTCCGAAGTCGTTAGAATTATTCGGAGAAATAGCGCATGTTTGCACAGCTTTCGTATCTTGCGATTAATGCAGGCAATTCTTGGTTAAAAATTTGGTGAAAAATATTTTCAGTTAATAATAACCTCGGCATAAAAATCCAGAGTCTAACAACACCCATCGAAGGACATTATCCTCTTCATGAACAGATCGAGGATCTTCGTACAAATTTCTATTTTCGCATTAACCTTTTATACAAACTTTTATGAATTGACTAAAATAGAAAAACCTTTAAGCAACAGTTGCAAATGGTTTCTAATCAAGACCGTAAACCAATACAGTAATTATATAATGTAGAAGACGTATTTAATTAAGAGAGTTTCATTTCACGGCGGTGTGATGTTCAGTCGCGCTTCTCATCCGTAAAGTCAATCAAACGATTAGAATGCAAGAGAGTAAAATAAAAAAAGAGTTAAATCACAAAAAAGGAGTTAAACTATCCCAAAGTCGTCAAAATGATTCGAAGAAGTAGCGCATGTTCGCACAGCTTTCGTATCTTGCGATTAATGCAGGCAATTCTTGGTTAAAAATTTGGTGAAAAATTATTCAGTTAATAATAACCTCGACATAAAAGTCCAGTGTCTAACGACACCGATCGAACTTTTATGTGTTGACTAAACTAGAAAAACCTTCGAGCAACAGTTGCAAATGACTTCCAATCACGACCGTAAACCAATACAGTAATCACATAATGAAGAAGACAGTATGTATTTAATCGAGAGAATTTTATTTCACGGCGGTGTAATGTTCAGTCGCGCTTCTCATCCGTAAAGTCAATCAAACGATTAGAATGCAAGAGAGTAAAATAAAAAAAAGAGTTAAACTATCCCAAAGTCGTCAAAATTATTCGAAAAAGTAGCGCATGTTCGCACAGCTTTCGTACCTTGCGATTAATGCAGACAATTCTTGGTTAAAAATTTGGTGAAAAATTATTCAGTTAATAATAACCTCGACATAAAAGTCCAGTGTCTAACGACACCGATCGAACTTTTATGTGTTGACTAAACTAGAAAAACCTTCGAGCAACAGTTGCAAATGACTTCCAATCAAGGTCGTAAACCAATACAGTAATCCCATAATGAAGAAGACAGTACGTATTATAATCAATTTAATCTATTTCACGGCGGTGTAATGTTCAGTCGCGCTTCTCATCCATAAAGTCAATCAAACGAATCAGACACTTACGTCTAGGAACAGGTCGGAGCGGAGCCGGTCGATAAATATTTCCATACTTCTCCATGATCCCGTTTCCATGGTTCGTGCAACTATAATTCCCGAGGCTCGCCGTCTGACTATAGGAAAACGGTGGACACATGCGAAGGGTCTCGCACCTGACGCAACTTCCCGGACAAGGACACCTCACCGTCGAGAATTCCACCGGAAGCGGCCTGAGTACATCTTTCGAAATTGCGGAATCTTACTCAGTGGTCGTACGCGCCGACAACAATGAATACAAATAAATGTTCAACGGATCACGGAATCGGCACAGTTCTCACCTGTCTTTCTCGCCGAAATTTCGTCCGACAATATCCGTTCCATGCCGAACTTCAACTGCTTCGAACAGTTCGTCCCGTCGACGACACGGTTTTTCACATCGCTCATCATTGTTCTGTTATCGAGACACTCGGATCTTCGTGTCGATTTATCGATCTCACTTCGCGCCTCGAACATTTAACGCGACCGAGATCGGCCGCATCGTCACTTAATCCCGCACATCTCGCCGTGACCGGAAACGGCGATTCATCGTCGCCGAGAGAGCATGTGCATTCTAACCGTGTTGTTCAAACGGCGAGGTTTTCCATAACGGATCATTAAGGAGGTAATAATCGGAGGCCCGAGACGAGGCGCGCGGACCGCGATAGTTAAAGACCGACTTTCACGGTAGTACATAAGAATGAATGAGCGGGCGCGTATATTCCTGCCATGTTCAGCGGAGATTTTGGTGTAAGAAAAAAAATCATCGGAGCTCGCCGTAATTTCGACGGCGGGATTGGTCCACGCGGTTGCTGTAGGCGTGCCTCGAAGAAGATTGGTCCCTGAAGGATGATGAGTCCGAGGCCAGGGTTGCGAGACTCCATGGTGCGCCGCTCGCAACAATTCCGCTTCTCGAGGCTCGCCGCTCGGTAAATATTATAAAACCCGGCCGGGGGGAAGTAATGTAAATATGACTCCGTTCGTAAATCATTGCAGGAAATAATAAATAACCCTTGTAATTCGGGAATTTTGAACGGAAAGTGGACAGATGTTATCGAAACCACAAACGAGAGCGGCCCGCGTTGCTTCGCTTTGAACGTTTCATTGCCGGGATAATAGTTGCGACTAATTGAAATACGAGGCTTAGATAGTAAAAGTTGACTTTATCTTAATGGTGAAAAATATAAGAATTTGCTGTATAGGTTTACAACGTAATCCATTGAAGATATCATTGTGAAACGTTAAATCAAGCATTCGTTGTTCGATAATTTCCCTGACCCGCCGAGTTTGATCACCTAACTGCGTCGATCTATTTTTGAGATCAATTTTATAAGCACCTTTTTATCGATCGCATTAGGCGCAGTTCCTTCCGGCAGGTTGTTCCAGAATTATTGCGCGAATTTTGTAATAATTAATAAATTCGCGAGATTTATGAATACACAAGCATTTCAACCTAAGTCATAAGGAGAAGTATTTTTATTGTAAAATGTACAATTGCAATTTCCTTGTGACGCATATACTGCGTAAACTGTGAAAATTGTAAATCGAAATTCCAAAAGGACGATACATTTTCAATTCTTTGTGTACGGCTGGTATCGATAAAAATGTCTGATGTACATTCACGAATGAAACACGGTAGCTACAAATTTCAACGCAGATCGAAACGAATTGGTTTCCGGGAATTCGTTTAAAACGATATCCATAGTTTCTATCGCGCGATTGCGCGTATCGATAAAATTCACCGAACGTTCCTAAAAATCTAGCTGAAGACTAGCTGCGATTCTAATTTTACCAGTTGCAACGTTTATCGATATTTGCCCGGAGCGTTTTCTTAATTTAGCGAGTCCAGATTCTCGGCGGATTTCGCGGACTTCGGCATTCGGACCGATGATGATTGAGGATCACGGAGAACACCGTGTTAAAAAACTATAGGAACGATGAAGTTCTGAAAAATGTTACTCGGGCTATACATATCCGTGGAATAATAGCATAGAGACGTATGGCCGATGATATCTCTGGGAGCCATATGGTTATCTTTGCATGCAGACTTTCGGAGTATACAGTCACTTAGGTGTTTATTTGAAGAGCCATGTTTGAAGCAGCCTCTCTACCCACACGCCAAGAATATTCTTCGGGATATGTACACACCGTGATCCTCTATTCGATTTTATTAGGTTTTAGGATTTTCGTGAGTCCGCTGGATCGTGATAATCGAACCTTTAATTGAGTCGATCGGGATCACGGAGTCTTGATCCGGTTCGTTGTAACGTATCGCTGGGATAAAATAACTGCCCGTAAAATACTCCTCGTTCACGGGCGAAAATAATCGAAACCGGGAAAAAGTGGCGCATAGATTACTACACTTGCTAACTAAGTCAATTTTACATCTTGCTGTAGCGTGTTCTAATTTTTATGGGTACCACGAACACGTTGATCGAATGATTTCGAATGAAAATGTATATTTTGCAACGTGCTATCGGCACGTTTTCATAGTCAGTATTAATAAATGTATTTTAAAAATCATACCTTTTAAAATCATTTTCCTTATTCTAGATCAATTTATATCTTATTGTATTTCGATCAGTGCATTCAGATTTTTATGGTTACTAAAAGCGAATCGATTGGCACTTTTCTAATTGAAAAGTTTCAATCGTGTTCAATTGGTATTAATAATTACACGTAAAAAATTATTGTATTAGTTTATGTGAATTTTATATATTACGTTGCTATCGAATTTCGTTCAGTGCATTCAGATTTTGATAATTACTAAAAGCAAATCGATTGAAAAATTTCTAATTAAAAAGTTTCAGTCATATACAATTGGTATTTAATAATTACATGTCAAAAATTATTGTATTCCTTTATGCTTATTTTATATTATCGTTGCTATCGAATTTGGATCAGTGCATTCAAATTTGTATGGTTATTAAAAACAAATCGATTGGCAGATTTCTAATTAAAAAGTTGCAATCGTGTACAATTAGTATTTAATAATCATATGTCAAAAATTATTGTATTTCCTTACGTTCATTTTATATAACCATTGCTATCGAATACAACTCGTTTCACCATGTAAACTCGACAATAAAATATCAATAAATTGTTTATAAACATTCATCTTTAACCTTACACTACAGTTCGCATTACGTCCTCTTAAAATGTTGAAACGTGAATACTCATTTTCTAGTCTCGTACATAGCGTAAGATCGCGATAACATGATCATTCCCTGATAAAGCTTGTCGATCTCGAAGTTGTTCTCCGCGGGATCGAAGACGTTCCGCTTCGGCCGCGTATAGCTCTGCAGTCCCTGTAGATTCTGAAACGCAAAAGTCTTCGTTACTTCGAATTGGAACATTTCCCGCGTTTCAGGAAAATGACGTAATTTTTCACGCAATTTCCAGCGGCGCCGCGAAGTTTGTTTTTCAACAGCGGTGCATGTTTTCCAAGACCGTATCAAGAAGGATCGAAATCGTTCGCGTTCAGAACGATGCCTAGCTTCGACAAAATGTCGCCGTTAGAAAGCTTGATTCGCCCTTTTGCCAACGAAATCTAACCTCTAAAAAGTAACGAGCCAGCTATTATTATTTTTTAAATAAACTAGCAGAAGAATTTAAATGCGTCCCGCCGTTTGAGAGAGAAAATTGATAATTGATGCTGAAGAACGAGATTGCGTGATATTAAAATATAAATCTGACTTATATGGTAGGACTAAAGTCTGCAAAAATGTTAGTAATACCTTTTTCTGCGCAACAAATAAAATGAAAATTCTATGTAAAATATGCGTCATAAACGATTTCGTAATAAGTAAGTGCCAATATTTTATATTTGTATTATTTTGTATTGTATTGTATTGTATTGTATTATATTGCACAATATTGTATTATATTGTATTATATTGTACAACATTCCATAATATTGTATAATATTGTATAATATTGTATTATATTGTATTATATTGTATAATATTGCATAATATTGTGTTATATTGTATTATATTGTATAATATTGTATAATATTGTATTAAATTGTAGTATATTGTATAATATTGTATTATATAGTATTAAATTGTATTATATTGTATAATATTGTATAATATTGCATAATATTGCATAATATTGTATAATATTGCATAATATTGTATTACATTGTATAATATTGTGTTATATTGTATTATATAGTATTAAATTGTATTATATTTTATTATATTGTATAATATTTTATTATATTGTATAATATTGTATAATATTGTATAATATTGTATAATATTGTATAATATTGTATAATATTGTATAATATTGTATAATATTGTATAATATTGTATAATATTGTATAATATTGTATAATATTGTATAATATTGTATAATATTGTATAATATTGTATAATATTGTATAATATTGTATAATATTGTATAATATTGTATAATATTGTATAATATTGTATAATATTGTATAATATTGTATAATATTGTATAATATTGTATAATATTGTATAATATTGTATAATATTGTATAATATTGTATAATATTGTATAATATTGTATAATATTGTATAATATTGTATAATATTGTATAATATTGTATAATATTGTATAATATTGTATAATATTGTATAATATTGTATAATATTGTATAATATTGTATAATATTGTATAATATTGTATAATATTGTATAATATTGTATAATATTGTATAATATTGTATAATATTGTATAATATTGTATAATATTGTATAATATTGTATAATATTGTATAATATTGTATAATATTGTATAATATTGTATAATATTGTATAATATTGTATAATATTGTATAATATTGTATAATATTGTATAATATTGTATAATATTGTATAATATTGTATAATATTGTATAATATTGTATAATATTGTATAATATTGTATAATATTGTATAATATTGTATAATATTGTATAATATTGTATAATATTGTATAATATTGTATTATATTGTATTACATTTTATAATTGTACTGCTCAGCATACGTTAGCAGACCTTTTTTAAATTTATTTCAACAATCTTGAGATTCGCTATTCGTCTAAAAGCATCAGCAAATTATTCGTAGGTATACGTAGACGAATACGACAATTAGACCGGTGAAACTGCGGCTAGTGAAATCGTAAAAGAGTTTATGAAATATCAGTTTTAGGGAACGATTACCGAACGCTCCGCTCGCTGAGAAACAATATACAAAGCTTACCGACAAAACGATCACATTCCCGTTGTTCATGCCGTTCGAGTTTCGGCGAATCGCCATTATTATGAGCGTGAGCAAATAGCCGCCGAAAGCGAGGAACGAGAGCGCAGTAACAGCCAGCTGGAATATTTTCGAGATTTTCGTATCGCCTTTTCCTTTCTCCTCGTAGTGGTCGCCTCGTCTCAACGGCCTCCCATTGTTCCTTTTAACGTTCCTCTTCAATGGAAGCGCCATCGGCAGCGAGACGGATAACGTTCTGCTCGATGCTTCGTCCTCCTCGAAGAAATCTGCGCGTGAACCGTTCCACACGTCAAATTTCAAACATTCCGCGCAAAATTCGTTGCGCGTCTTAAGAAATTAAACTTTGTTAAATTGTAGCCGCTCGCGGCTGTGAACGCGGTTTTCAAAATATTGACTGCCGCAGTGACGGCACAATACTTGCCCCTACCTATAAGTTACAAGTCCGAGAAGCGATTTAACGTGTTTTTCTGCCGAAGAACTGCTGCCCAAAAAATCCCAGAAAAGCGGCGAAATTAATGAAATTAGAAATTGTATGTTAAAGATTGATACGGTAATTAATGGATCATAGATCCTTGCGCAAATTCCCAGTTACATCGATCGGTTTACTTAAATAAAATCGGTTTAGGTAAAATCGAATATTATTATATTATTATATTATTATATTAGTATATTATTATACTATTATATTATTATATTAGTATATTAGAGTTTATTAGTGTATTATTATATTATTATATTAGTATATTATTATACTATTATATTATTATATTAGTATATTAGAGTTTATTAGTGTATTATTATATTATTATATTAGTATATTATTATACTATTATATTATTATATTAGTATATTAGAGTATATTAGTGTATTAGTATATTAGTATATTAGTATATTATTATATTATTATATACTATTATATTATTAAATTAATTTTTATTGAAATCCTCTTGTTCTTGCATTTCAAAAACTTCACAGACTTTTCATTCGAAAGCATTAAATCAAAATACCTCGAGGACAATACAATTTCAGAAAAAATATTATATAAAAAAGAATAAAAAGTGATTTAAAAAGAAGTAAAAATGTATCTACAAGCAAATACGTATACTTAAACTCTTATATATTTTTTTAAAAGTATTAATAGCAACGCTTTAAAAACAAAATGTAAGCAAAGAGTGCACGAAAAGCCGAAACGTCCAAGTTTTCTGCGCTAATAGACCAAACCGATTGCACCTTGAGAACTCACCTCCGTCGTCCCCGAGCGAAGACTTGATGTGAATCAGCTCGGTCATCGGCAGCTCGATCAGGCCGCGAACCTCGTCCATGTATAAAGTCGTCCGATTCGCAGACGCGACTTCCAAACAAGAAAACACGAATAAAATGAATGCCGCGGAAATAAGTGATCCGCTGCCGGTACTCCTGAAACTGGCGGGTTCGAAAGCGTTTCACAAACAATCCAGACACATGGAAATTATGCCGTGCAGATTCCTTACCTCGTTGCCATATTAAATTCTATTTCGAGCAGCAAAACACTTCCAGCAAAACTTCCAGGGATTCTTCCTGATATCTCGACTGGGCACAGGTTTCGTACTACATACTTCGAGGAAAGAACAACCGTCGCCCGAATCGCGAGATCTAGTTTCTCGTGGTTGGCCGACAAAGCGAGAAGAGTCCCAATCGTCGGTCACCGCGGCGTGAACAGTAACGTTAGCGCTCAACGGGGTGGAAATGAGTAATTAACACCCGTTATGGACAGACTCTAGCGCGATTTCCAGTAGCGCTGGAAGTCCTGTAGAGAGGCACGATGCCAAAAATTCTCTGCGCTTTGATCTGTGTCCTGGGTTTTTCTATTGTCGACTCGGCGCAACAAAACGATGGTGAGTTGTAACTATCGAGCACGTTGATTGTCAACTATGTTGCATTGATCAGAGAGATTGAGTATAGATCGAGTAATCTGCGAACTGCATGAGAGTCGAAAGGCTAATTAATGTCACAAGTTTCGCTTCGACTTTATATCTAAATTGCTCCGATTTTATCTAACTTTCGTGGGTGCTAATTCGACGGTCAACGCGTTAAAAAATCTAAAGTAATTGTACTTATAATTATTACGAGAAATAAAACGCATTCAACGTTTTCTCAGACCTAATCAATATTTAGAAATATTATTTCTTTTAACACTATTGCTACCACGATCGGTCAAATGGCTGTTTCTAAAATTTCGATTAGAATTTGCTATATAAACGCTATAATAAAATTGCTATATATAATATCGTTTTCATAATAATTATTAATTATAATATATTAATATAATAATAATATTATATATATATAATATAATAATAATATATATAATATATATATAATAATATATAATATATATTATATAATAATAATATAATATATTAATTAAATTGCTATACAAAATATCGTTTTCATAATGATTATTAATTATAATAATTGCATCATCTAATTAATAATTATTACGAAGACGATATTATATATAAAAATTTTATTATAGCGTTTATATGAAGATGCAATTATTATATTTGCATCGTCTTTAAACTCTTCACGACTTTTCCTAAAATATACGTACAATACATTTTTCGATATTCGCATCTTTTTTTTAAATGTTTGTTTTCTGAGAAAAATTTGTAGTCTATCTTACCTACCGGTTGAACGATTTATCTCTTTTTGTGATAGAATTCTCTCAAATTGCACAGACTTAATCGTTCCGGTATACGGATGAAAATGTTCGGAAACATTTGCGAGCGAGTGTTTCGTGTCGATTGCAGGTGTGCTGGAGAAAATTAAAGCAGGATTGGAGTACGCGACGAATTACTTAGAAACGGCGAAAGATATTGCCGATTTAGTGGCCAGAAGTTTAGGCAAGAAGCAGAAAGAGAGGCGAGGCGAGGATGAGGATAAAAACAAGGCAGATTTCGTGCCATCGAATGTAATGTCCGCATTTTTCCGGATGATCGGCCTGGATTCGCAGAAAGTTACGGCGATCGTCGTCAACAGTGTCATATTTCTTGCTCAAATGGTAAATAATCATTATTAGATCTATCTACCGCGTATCTAACAATTATCTGTTAATACTAGAAGCCTATTAACACACTTTAATAACTTCACGTCGGCAATATTTATGTAAATACATGAAATAATTCAAGATCTGCGAACCTACGCATAAAACAGAAAAAAACAACGCCAACGATAACAACACATTTAATGCAACAAATTTAATATTTTTCCTTTGCGTGATAATTATTAAAGCAATCACCTGCATAATCATTAAAGCATTGCACACGTGTTGCGTGAGCGGCCATTAAAGCGTTAATAGGATTTTTAATAACTTTGCGTTCTATATATACGGAGTTCGACAATTTTCTACTAAATAATAATTTGTTAAAAGAATTTTTTAAAAGAACTCGTCGCATTGTATTTGTGCAAGTAATTTATTCGATTATGAACGAAACTAGTATCGCGTGTGAACAATTTTTTAAGAAATCCTTTCTTGCTCATCTTGGATTTTAATCTAATCACAAGTATCTTGTTAAGTACCGAATATGAATCACTTAATTGCACACTGTTTAACTGTTCGAATTCGCGTGCATTTGTTCAGATTAGCTCGCTGTTCGAACTGAAACCGCCGAAGGAGAACATCGCGAGGGATTTGGACGAAGACGAAACTTCCAACTGGAATCCCGCCGACGTGATCATGGAAAGCAAAAACGAAAGGGTGAGTGACCTCTGACGAAATAATCGCATTATATTCCGATATGTGCATTATATTGCGATACGATTTTATTATATGACGTTGACTAAAATGGCTCGTCTTCAAGATTCAGCAATTGATCAAGCAAGCGCACGACGAAAAGCTGCCGAACCAGTTGATGGAGACGATAGATGGCGTCGATTCCGGCTGTGTGAAGCTGTTACTATGCAAAACATCGCCGGTGATTAAGGCTGCACAACATTTCCTGAAGAATAAGGCGCAGGCCGAGTCTCGCGAAATGACCGCGTGGCTGCCTAGCAAGGACGAATTCGAGGAGAACAGCGACCAGTGCGATCACGCGCACGTGGAGTGCAGTTTGTTTCATTAGCCATGGATCGCAGCGACCTGCAGATTACGTGCTAAAAAATTGGCGAAAAATGGGGTCATTTCAAGTCTCGAGGTATCTCGACGGAATGTCTCATCTGAAAAATAAAAATAGGGCCATTTCAAGTCTCGAGGTATCTCGACAGAATGTCTCATCTGAAAAATAAAAATAGGGTCATTTCAAGTCTCGAGATATCTCGACGGAATGTCTGATCTGAAAAATCACGATTATCATCGCGATTATAAAAATCTCGATTACATTCGATTTACAAGAAATTGAAATCAAAACAGTAACATAACAAGTATAATTTAAATTATTAAATAATTTAAATATTATAAGAAATATTATAAGAAATCATTTTTAGCAAAACAAAGAATATCCTTTCCCAACCCTTTGCACTTGGAAGATTCCGTCCGATATAAGATATCAAATAATAAAACCCTGAAAATGATCAGTCTGTTAAATGAAAATTTGCTAATCTGAAAGTACCATAATTACACCGTCCAACAAATTTTAACTTCGTTCACAAAAATTCGAATTTTTCAAGAAACGAGAACGGCACAAAAGTTTCGTTTGCGGATTCGCGTACGAGAAATAGCGCATTCGGATGCAAAGGATTAAACATGGACGAACAGTCGAATTTGTAATCGACCGATTTCCACCATAAAATTCAGATCGTACAAAAAAAGGTGATCGAAGGGTGATTAAAGAAATCGTCTGCGAGCGAAGTAATCATTTATAGACCATATATATTTGCGTCCATACAAATATATACTATATTACAGAATATACAAGGTAGTCCAAAAATTAATTTACCGAATCTTGTACGTCGTAATGCCTCCCGTATCATACACATGCTTGTCGTCGAACGTAAAATGAAGAGAACATAGCGGATTTCAGTCGACTCCTCTCCGAGTATGCTCGACGTTCGTTTAAACGAAATACAGTAAATTCTCCCTAATTGACGCTCAGATTGTGCACAGAAATTGACAATTTGTGAGGGGAAGACACGATTATTCGAGCTTTGCGGCTCGTTTTTATAATTGTTGACAATTCGTAACTATAAAAAGCAGTCGCAAGGCTCAAACAATCGTATCTCCTTTTCCCAAATTGTCCACTCTTGCGCGCAATCTGAGCGTCAATTACGGAGACATTACCGTACCGCGACGATCGTTGCGTGGGCGACGCTCGTCGCAGCTCCGATCGTCGCCGGGATGGGCGAGTCGCCCGCGAATGGATCGCTCGATCCTTGCGAGCAACGCACGCGTTTTGTCTCTATCACCTCGATCCGTGAACACGTTTCATCGTCGAGAAACGGTTTCGCGGGCTGCATTGTGCGAGGAGCTTAACAGCGCAGTGACGTAACAGGAGAACGAAACTAAACTCGAAAATATATAATCTGTAAAGTATGGCTTTTTCACTCTTCGTTCCCTCCTCTCTTCGCCATCCGAACAAACAAATTCGCTGGGGGGAGGGAGAGAGCTCCGCGTTCTAGCGTCGAACGAACGCAGAACGATCGGACGTAATATCATTCGTTTACGAGGAAGATACTTGTACGATTCGCAAGGACGGTGCTAATAGAAAACTCTCTACGATCTGGAATATCGATCATTCCGTAAAAAACAAGAGAAAAAGAACGAAAAATAGTCTATCCGCGTTACCCTTTACCGACACGAAAATAGCCGCGCCGACGTCGATCGCGACGTCGCCGACGATGGGCGGCGGCGGCCATTTAAACGGAACAATATCGAACGGAATATATATCAACGACCGTTAACAACAGAGAACAACGTTCGTATAACAACTACGTAAAAACGAGAAGGTGGCGCGCGCGCGCGATCGCCGGCGGTGATCCAAGGGGGAGTCGCGACCGGCGTAGATCCAATTAGCGCGCGCCCACGTTCCGGTATAAAATGATCGGTCGCTTCTACGCTATACATCTAACGAGATCTGGATTATTGCGAGATACATGCTTCGGAGTCCGAAGATCGCTAGAAACCACTAAAACCATCCGCGATCGGTTAACGATGGAGTACTGCAGTGATGTCTCCCTAATCGACGCTCGGATTGTCCACAAAAATGGACAATTATGGGAAGAGGAGATACGATTATTCGAGCCCCGCGTCTCGTTTTCATAATCGTCGACGATTCGTAACTATAAAAATAAACCGCGAGGATCGGATAATCGTATCTCCTCTTCCCGAATTGTCCATTTCTCGCGGACAATCCGAGCGTCAACTAGAGAGACATTGCTGTAAATTGAACCGCCTCTGGGTTTGTCGGGCCGTGCCAGAAACGCGTTTGGCAATTACACCGCCTCTACTGTCCCTGTAAATATCATCGTAGTAGTACGCGTGTGTGATTATGATTAAGAGTGTCGATAATTACGAAACTTTGGCAATCGAGAGACACGTGTCGGGGGCGAAACGGGGCGAGGTTTCGCGCGCGGCCGAACTTCGAGGCTCGGGAAGCGACCGGATCCCGAAGCTTCGTTATAATATCCCGCGGCCCCCTCCAAAGTCTTGCGAGTCTCTTTACAAAGTAATTTTGATTGGCTGCGATCACATTCCGCGCTCGGGGAAACGTAGGGGAGAGGGCCGGACCGCGGCCGACGCTTCCCGGTCGTCGAAGAGCCCGCGCCGGGTCGATCAACATTTACGTAAAACGATTCGTAGTCGGTTATACGTATATATCGTAGTTAGAGCGTATAGGTTAATTAGAGATACGTACAATTACAGTCGCCTCACGCTCGCGGGAAAAAATCGTTCTCGAAAATATATGTTAAGGATCGACAGACGGTCGGGAGGAGGAACCAGCGGACCGTACCGAGACGTGCGGGCACCGAGGAATTCTTATTTACAAAAGAACAAGCCCGAAGGTTCCCGTAGTGTGGCCGACCGAATACGGCACTGCTGAAAATATCGGCAATCAACAGCCTTGAAATCAAGCTCGTCGACTTTCCTTCAAACGGTGAAAACGCTTGCGGAAGTTGTTCGTGAGAATATTTTTTTCAGACGCAAATTTTCGTGATCGATTGTTTGATTTTAATAAAAAAGACTGTTTCCTCTTTAAAACGTACGAATGTCCCTAAGTTCATTTAACCCCTTGCCGTACCATTTTCTTCACAGTTACGCTGATTTGAACGGCTACGAATGTAAGGATTTTCTTACATTAAGAGCAGAGAAAATTAATATTCATTGTGTGTGTCTATATTTACGCGCATGCTTAAATATTGATTGCAATGGAACAGAATTTTATTCCGGCTTGAGAAAAACTGAATAACGTCTATATTTAACAAGACGTTACGAAACATCCCCTTCGCGAGTCAGGTACATTAAAATATGGCAAGAGGTTAATGTCTTCACTGCTTGGAATTTCACCTAGTCATTTTCATCATGACTACGTAAAATCCACAATCTACTTGTCACAACTAAGATGTACCCACCGCGCTATTTATTCAACCCTTGAACGGCGGACCTTTCTGGTAAAATATAACTAGGGATACTTACGATCGTTTATCTTTTTATTTATCAATTTTTGTTCAACATATTTTTCACGGTATTTCTTCTAGATACGTTAGTTTTTCTATAGGCATTGACGAAACACGCGAGAATCTGACATTCAATTATCAATTTTTTCCACTCCGGGTCCGAATGGACCCCGAGTCCGTCGTTCGAGCGTCAGTAAACAAAGAAAATAAAGTCTTCGATTAAAAAGTGTCTATGTGCCGAAATAGACACAATCGTCGGTTTGTTAATAATTTTGTTTCTCTCTCTCTTGTTCGTATTCAGATAATTATGTCTCATCACTGTAAACACCGAATCACTGTAGCGCGCAGTTTCTCAAACAGGAAACGGATGATCGAATTTTTCTGAATATTTTGTCACCAGAGTAAACACATCTCAACTGCAACAAAGAACAAATTTACAGGTCGCGTTGCTGCTGAAAGAAAAGTTTCCTAAGAATCCTAGAACGAGATCAAGAAATCTCTAAAAAGTATATAGCTTATTTAAAACGAAATTATAAATAAAGTCTGATCGGTCAGGTTAATAAATCACTGCTAAACGTTACTGTTCAGCGTCAGTAGCTGCAGCCAACAACACAGCGCGACGCGGCGAGGAGGCGTGGCCCGCGGTTCGGGCCACTCCCGTTTATCATAATTCCCGTCTCGGTCGGTCAAACTATACATTTCACGCGGAAATCACTCGCACGCACGTCTTGTTCCTTCGTCCACATTCAAACTTGGCGAATCCAGTGGCTTCTCATTCATCATTCTTCAGTGAGACGCTTTTGCTTCACGGGCGAAACGAACTTCACACGAAACGGTATTATTTCGTGGTATATCGTTCGAGCTGCTCGGCTCTTACAGAGATTCTTTCGAGGTACGCTATGTAGCCGTACGGGAATCATGGCGATTCTATGCGCACGTTGCCAGTCTTGATTGCTGATTCAGCGAAGAGATGAACAGAACTCGTTAGGAACAAGCGGATGTGAGGCTTTTCAGACCGGCCTAGGCCGGAACGAGCACGATTTTGAGACTTATTCTAACGACGATCGACAGGAAACTCGCTTCCAAATGACACGATGCTGATTTGGTCAGTAATTCACGCCGAGGCATTCCGTGAAATAAATAACTAGATTAGGAACGTACGGAACACGAGATGCCGGTGTCCAAAGAGCAGCGAAAGTATGTCCGTTAAGAGAAGCGTAAGACAAACGTCAACTGATTTAACGATTGGAAAGATGGGGTTAAAAACTGTCTCGCGATCTTTCCAAAAAAGGATTCGAATCCGTGGATAAAATCGATGGAGAAACGAATGTTTGACGACAAACTGTCACTGCTCATCGAACACCCGGCACAATTAAATCGAATATGACACTGTGCGACTAGTTTCGAGGACATGCACGATTCTACGTCAACAAAACGGGCGACTAAATCTCCTCGCAGTATTCAACTAAACGATTAATCTCGACTAAAACTACTGAAAACAGTGATGGGAATGTCGCGATCGATAATAATCGCTGGACCGTGGATCTTTCCGCGGTTTCTCACGTCGAAGTTATCTTTCTTGGCGACACGTGAATGCATAAAGATCCTCGGTCCAGCGATCGGGAACGAAATCCTTGCACAAATCCCGACGGACTATGATGATAGGCGTTCCAACTTTCTTACGTCTAATGAATTCGATCTCTACGTTGATCAACGTCGTATTAAAGAACTCCCAAAGTGATCTAACTTCGTCGCGAAATCACACAGACTATTTGGTATACACGAAACAGCTCGATGGGGTTTCAGTTCGCATCCCCGATGCGCGTAGGACATAATATCATTTCGCGTGCCGGTTGACATTTGGAAACGAATTTTTGCATTTTAGCGGACGACGAGCGCGTCCTCCTCAGAGGGTCGCCTGTCCCGGTGTGATCAGGTCGGTGTTCTCGACGCGAGCTTGCCGTAACCAGTCCCTCAGGTTCCATGTTCGTTCCATCAGGTTCGAGGTGGTCTTCTCGACGGTGCCGACGCTGGTCGTGAAACCACTGTTAGGACCGTATTGGGCGATCATGTTTTGCGTGGTGGCGGCCGGTGGTTGCGCAGCTGTCAGTTGGGATAAGATGTTCGACTGTATATTCGGAGTACCAAATGTTCCTGTAAAATACGAGGCATATCAATCGCTGATCTTTCGCTGCGTGTACCGCACTTGGTGTTAACATTTTCAGTTACGGATAATAATCCCGAAAAAATCTTATAACGTTAAAATCATTTGATCATTGAAGACGAAACTAGAAAGCTAAAATTTACCATAGGAAATATTGGCTTAACTCTTTTGTATTGTAAAAATCGCGAATAACATTCAGTTTGTTCAATATATTATAATAAAAGTGAATTTTAAAAGCTAGGTAAAAATTCGTTAAATTAGTTCAACATTCTTTCATTAACTGACATGTGATCCATTGCATTACAAAGATCCATTACAAAAATAATATGAAACGTTAGAATTGTTCCAAATAACTAAATGCTCAACCCTTCTACGGTGTTCGGGGTCAATATGACCCAGATCGTGTATTAGGCTTTATATGGATAACTCTTTTAATTATTAGCTTAGTGGGTATTTTCATGTTAAGTATTACATGTATCCTTTTACATAATAGGCTTGAAAACGTGTGTATCTTTGGAGGGTTAAATGATAAGGAATTAGATCCGTAGTAATTGTTTAACATTCATCCTTAAAGGGTTGAGAGAAGCAGCTACTTCATTTCTGACTTATAAATTCCGAATGCCACGATAACTTAAATATACGATTAATAAAATAGTGGCAGTTACAATTGTCTCTTTTTCCACTTCTATACGATTTCTTACTACTTCTAATTTTTCGACATCTATCTTTTTCATACCCTCCTACTGATCACTTACATTCCAAATTTGCCTCGCTCAAGTCGTCGTATTGGCATTCTATAACGTACGCTAAATACATTCATCACGACGCATGTTAGAACAAAAATGCTAAATACATACAGGGTGTTTCAAAAATGTCTTGCAATTCGAACATGTAGGTTCCCGAGGTCATTTGAAGTAACTTTTTCATTAGCGAAAATGCAATTCGCGGCTTCGTTTACGAGTTATCAACGAAAAACGCTGACCAATAAGAGGCGAGCTCGGCTGGCGCGAGGCGGCCCAGCCAACGAGCGCACGAAGCCCAGTTCCGCTCATTGGCTCGGCTGTCTCGCGCCATCTCGCCTCTCATTGGTCACTGTTTTTCGTTAATAACTTGCAAACAAAGCCGCGGATTGCATTTTCGCTAAGGAAAAGGTTACTCCAAATGACCTCAGGAATCCCTTCCCCCATTTCCGGATTACGAGACATTTTTCGGACATATATGTATATTTATATATACACATATTTCCATATATATTATTATATCCATATATATATATATATATATATGTTATATATATTTCGTTCTAGCATAGCTGAATGTACTTAAAAGAAAATTGCCCGAGAAAAGATGGCTCCATTTACCAATAAAACATTAATAAAGAATAGTTTCCAGTGTCACAGAATATGTACATGGTTCCAGGCAGATGTAGCACATTCAAACGAATGAAAACAATGACGATCAATCGTGGGAGAAGAGTATGCCAGTAGAAGATGAGCATGATTTATGACTCGAAGACGAAGGATACTGTAATAATCGAATAAGAATCGAAAAATGTAAGAAAAAGAAAGAAAAGAAAACAGAGGGCAAACGGAGGGTGAGAACAGACGTTCACTGACCTTGAACATTATTCGGCTGCGCGGCGAGATGATGAAACCGTAGCCATCGCAAATAAGAGTACATCAGAGTTGGGGGCGGTGGCACGTTACTGTCCTGCCGTTTGCTTAGGACGCCCCAGATCTCACGTATTTCCGAATTTAGGTTTTCCAGGCTTGCGATGATTTCCGTCGACTCCTGGTAGTGATCCGGTTTGTCTGAATACGGGGGGATCATGACACAAAACCGAAAAATAAATTTGTGTGCGGATGAACGTTAACCGGGACGTCTGCCTGCTGTGCGAAGGCAGACCACCGAAGCCTCCCGTGGATGATCAAAGAAAAGAATCGAACTGAAAGGCGCTTGAAACGATGACGAAAAGGAAAAGAGAACGCAGGGTGACAGAGCGGGGTTGGTGACACTTTGGTTCTGGCGTTCGTTCGCTCACCTATAAACGGATCCGTTCCCACATCAGTGGAGCTGAAGCCGCTGCTCGCGCTAGACATATCGCTCAAAGTTAATTCGTCGTTTCTTGTAGAACTCGCGTCGTTCTCGTTCCGTCTTGCGCTGGCAACTCTCTCCAGAGTTTGCTCTAAGTGTCTCAAATGTATCACCTTCTCCCCGAGTAGGCTTTTCGTACGGTGCAAACTCACTTCCACATCTGATAGCTCGCGTTCTTCCTGCAATCCAACGGCGAATCGATTAAAAATCGTCGCTGAATTCGATTTCGTCGATTCAGAATTCATCCGATACTCGGCGTTAGCTTAGCTCCGAGATTAGCCTAATCTGTCAGAGATGAAAAGTCAGCAGTATCTATGAGACGTTATTGCATATATGTATATACTTTGATGTACTATTGATATGGCGCAGTCCTGGCCATTATTCATAGAAGATATAATATAATAGTATAATCAAAGAAGTTCTGACTTCAGAATATCCAATCTTTTAAGATTAAATTCCGCGTTATATTATTTTTTTGTTATAGGTAATATGGACTTGACTTTTAACATCTTAAAAGATTGAATATTCCGAGGTCGGATTTTTTTTACGGGTTATGTTCTACTTAGACTTACACTGGTTAAATTCTACTTCGCTATATCTCAGGATCTCGGTAAAAGAATCGAACGATCAATAAGATTCCTCTCTCAATTCCAAAACATGAGACTTCAATTCTTCTATGAATAATGATCAAGTCTGCGCCATATCAATAGTATATCAAAGCATAATATTATTCATACAGTGGCCCACAAAAGTGTCCGTACAACTTTTAAAACGCAATAACTACTTTAAAACTGAACTTGTTTAGATGAAAAAGAGACTAGTCTACTGGACGATGACTGAAATGCTTATTTTTTTAATTTTGCTATTACTTGGAATGACAAAAAAATACAAATCTCTCGTTTTTTAACTTTTTTATATAACGAAAATTTAAAAAATATCTTTCGTAGATCTCGGTAACTTATATGCGTACTGAAAATTTTATCGAAATTGGATCACGTTGTTACGAGTTACAACAAATTAAAGATCGCAAAAATCGCAATTTTATCACGATTTCGACCAAAAACTGGAAGAAATCTGCAGTTTTCAAAATCCGTCAGCACACATATGAGTTACTGAGATCTACAAAAGGCATTTTTTAAATTTTCGTTACATAAAAAAGTTAAAAAACGAGAGATTTGTATTTTTAATTTTTTCTTCTCATTCAAAGTAATAGCGGAATTAAAAAAAACCTTTTTTGCCATCGTCTAGTAGATTAGTCCCTCTATCATCTAAAAAAAAAAAGGAAATTCAAGTGATTTAGTTCCGTTTTGAAAATGTTATTGCGTTTTAAAAGGTGTGCGAACACTTTTGTGGAACACTGTATGTAATTAATATTAATTAATAACTACACTGCGGATCTTACCTTGACTGATTCCGACAATCATAAATCATACAGAAACGGCTTTCTATCATGAATCATTTTAACGAGTCGAAAATAATACTCTTAAATTCTTTCAATGTTTTAAATCTTTGAAATCACACCGCGCCACTTTTATTATAAATGCGTAAAATCCGCAGTCTATTAATAAGTGTCGCAATTTCTAATCACGTGACACGTAACATTCTACTGTTACTCCAAATATGTTACTTCAAATACACGTGCAAGATTTCATTTCACCAGAATTGTGTTCTCTGAAAATTGTCGAATATTGCTCTAAAATAATACGTCCTCTTTAGGGCTTACTTTCTCCCCTTGAACGCGAACAACAGTCGATGAAAAGGTACATATCGAATACCTTTTTCGAGAACCACTCAAAATATCGTCCAAGGCCCGCGATATTACCTGAACTAATTGTTCTAGGGTGGCCCGTGCGCTGCTTTGCTTCCAAGCTCTCTGTCGTCTCTGAAAAGCGGTCTCCTGGTCTCGTAACGCCTCCTGTGCCCTCCTCACGGAGTCTCTCTCGACGTGGATTCGGTGCCGGAAGAATTCCAACTCCGAAGAGGCGTTCGCCGGAGCTAAAAAATCGAGCAGATTTCTTTTCGATGTCGTCTAGATGAGCTCCAGCGTGAACCGTTCGTGAAAGCCGCGTGCGAGAAACGAGGTAACGCAAAGGAAGAGAAAGAGAGAGAGAGAGAGAGAGAGGAAGAGAGGGCAAGGGAGAAAAAGAGAGAGAGAGGAAAGGAGAGAAAACAGCAACGAACACGGTGCGCTAAGGAGAAACGAAATTCTGTTTGTGCACTTACGAGCGAGTCGAGGAGTGTAAGCCGTTAGCCAAAGTAAAGTCTATAGATGCCTGGGGAATAAATAAATATCATATACATAAACGTAAAAAAGATAAACGAGCAATCTGTAACAAGAAAATAGTCTCAGAAGAAGAAGAAGAAGTAGTAGTAGAAGAAGAAGAAGGGGAAGAAGAAGAAGAAGAAAAACCAAGCGAGCAAGAAAGTAAGAAGCTCTCGAGTCCGAGAAATCGAAGCGTTTCAATCGTAGTTGCTCGAACAAGTAAGATTAGCTAATCATAAAAAGTTCTATAAAATAATTCATGCGTTTAAACACGACGTATGTGAACGCTACTACCGGAGAACTGAAACGGGGCGAACGGTAGCTCGACGGCATTCGTCAACATTCACCTTTGTCTTGGAAAGGATATCGCAAGGTGTAGGCCGTTTCATTGCTAGGAAGCTGATCACCGAGATCTTCGAGCTTCTCTAGCTGCTTCCTGATATTCTCGACCGGATTCTCGGGATTGTTGTTGTTGTTGTTGCTGTTGTTGGCGGCGCTCGAGCTGACCCTGACTGCGCTGGCCGTTCTCTTGCCGAGGCTCTTCTTCTTCCTGATCATCATCATGTTCGCGTTCGTCTCGCTGGCGGTGGTGGTCGTGTCGTCGGACTCGAATTTCGCGGCGGTCTTCGAGTTCGTTCCGGCGGCCGTCTTCTGGCAGCCCGGGGCGGTCGTCTTCTGCGAGCTGGAGGCGTCCGCTTCCGGCTGATCCTCGGACTGATCGGCCGCGGACCGAGCCTCCGGCGGCTTTCCGTTTCGCGTCGCAGAGCTAGACCGCGTGTTCCTCACCGGGGTACTGCGAGCACGATTTAAGGCCTATAGCCAGACATTAGGACGATTCGCATGAACGTGAGAGAGTACCTTCACAGTGTATTCCCCTGGATGCGTGAGCGTCAAGGACCGGCGAAATTCTATGGTCTGTGATGGTATCGTAACACGTTCGCCGTCGCAGCGGCATATCACGGCTGCCTCAGCAGCGTCAAGATGCAAACACGTCCTCGCTATCGTCCCTAATAATAAAACGTTCGGCTATTCATAGTTTGCTGTTCGCGTTAACGATCGCGTTAAGTACTGTTAATTCCCTTTTCTTTTCTGTTTTCTCCCATTCGCTTTCGTTACGGACACGCACACAACGTTAGGTTGGATCGTTTACCCACCGACTGTGATACCGGCGAATGTGTTAATAAAAAAGCTCCACCACAGGCGCTGTTCTAAGAGCGTCGGCTAATTAATTATGTACATATCTATAGAGAGTGCGATACTTATCGTTAGCGCTGATCTTTGATTATAGCTGCAAGGATCAGTGTGACGAATTTTGCTTGGGTGATATTAGCTACTGAGATGAAATTATATTATAATGTCTATCGAATTTGCCGTGGGTGCACACACCTGGCGCGTGTGTCCGCTCGGTGACACGCAAGAAATATGTTACAAAGTCCGTATAGTTATCTGGGGTACGACAAAAGTGACACTGACTGTGAAGGTACTGAGGCAGTGATGAGACAAATGTATTATGTGCAAGAACTTAAACGTTAGTAACATTTAACATGATCGAGGCATGTATAATACTTGCTGGGAATACACCTGGTACTCGAACAGTGTCCATTGTACGAACTTTTGTTCTTCGTGGAGGATTCTACTCCGAGACATTTGGCGAGCAATTAAAATACCCAGTGTATTCGTTTGTAGACAGGATGCATGCTTGTTACTCGTTACAAACAGCTACTAACATCTACGAATGCTCTCTACACCCTACGGCACTGTACAACGCAGTCAACCATTTGCCGTTTAATCGTTCTCTTGCTCTTCCGTCGTCTGTGCCATCGGAATTCGCAAACTCGGGAGTTACGCTACCGTTAAATCGCCTTATTATTAATTAGCTTCTTTTTGTATATCTAGTATATATGGTTTTATATATATCCCAAAAATGTCTCGCAATCCGAAAGTGGCGGGTTCCTCGGGTCATTTGAAGCAACTTTTTCCTTTACAAAAATTTTCTCCGAGGCTCCATTAACGAGTTATTAACGAGAAACAGTGACCAATGAAAGGCGAGCTCAGCTGGCGCGAGGCGACCGAGCCAGTGAGCGGAACTGGGCTTCGTGCGCTGGTTGGCTCGGCCGCCTCGCGCTAGCCGAGCTCACTTCGTTAACGATGCCTCGGAGAACATTTTTGTAAAGGAGAAAGTTACTTCAAATGATCTGAGGAACCCCACATTTCCCGGAAATGCCATAATTTTGAGACTGTATATAGTATATATAGTATACATAGTAATTCATAGAGAATGTATGAATTAATTATACATGTCTCCATCAATAACTAATGAGAAATACCGAACAAACGAGCGACGTCTCCGTAGCTGAGACAACGGAGCGCTAAAGATTAGCAAGATTATTAATAATTTCCTAATTATTATACTAGATTATTTATATTCTATTATTCTATTATTATCAATTTCTAATTTTAATTTTTAATTTTCTAAAACCGTTCCACTCGAATTGTTTAAAATGACAATTTTCAAAACTGCGTACGCAAATATCTCAATCTGTATCGATTCTAAAGCTCAGTTTCACACCGAATTTCATGCAAACCCGCGTGTTTGTGACTAAATATTCAGGGTTCGCGTAGTATGAAAATTATTCTTTTTCGGAAAGTTACAACAGTCCCAACTCCCAAGTCTATTCTTCAGACAAATAGTTTCGATTTTTCGATTTTCGACCGCGTCGCGATTTCTTAATAAAGAATCAAATAACGAAGCACGTTTGAAGATCGACAACGGGGATCACCGCGTTCTGGACACCCTCGAAACAGCAAATGGTTGACCGATACGGTATTTTTTATTCTCGATATCAGACGTCAAGTTCGACTCACTTTTGTTCCGACGACTCGGTTATATCGGTCCTGGTCCTGGTGGACGTCGACTTCTCGGTCTCGGAGGTCGTGTTGTACTCCGCCTTCCTCCAGCTCCTCCTCTCGACGGCCAGGCGAACGTCGTTCTTCAGCTTCTTGTACTTTTCCCGGAGCGCCGTATACTTGTCCTGCATCAGACGGTTCTCGGACCTCATCTTCTCGATGTCGACGCTCTCCTGCTGGAAGGACCGTTGCTCGGCCAGTTTCCTCGCCTTGATCTCCACGGACCTGCCCGGCCAGATATCCCCTAAACGCTGCTTGTAGATCTGCTGCTGGGCTACGGTCTCCTGAAACGGCAGCAGACAAACTCCCTTCAGACTCTGGCCCGAGGCAGGAAACCGGACTCCCGTTCGTGAAAACGTTGACAAACATCGAACGACAAACACCGCCGCCGGCCCCAATTAATCCTCCTCCACACGCTCGTGATCGACCATCCATCGTGATCCACGGTGGCAACAGCGATTACTTGCTAGGATTCGAACGTGGAACGGTGGAATCGTGTTGAGGCTCATCGCTTGCCTATCGGGTCACATAGATTCACGTATGTATTATAAGTAACAGACCCGTTCGTAAATGCTAGGATAAGTTATGCTAGCACTTTATCGACCGGTCGTGGTCGAGGCTGCCGCTCGGCAAGGACTGGCTTAGTCGCGCGCGCATTTGCTCCCAGTACAGCGATGTCTCCCTTACTGACGCTCAGATTGTCCACTGAAATTGACGCCCAGATGCGTCAATTGTCCAATGCGCACTAAAATGGACAATTTGGGAAGAGGAGATACGATACGGCACATTTTTACAATTGTGGACAATTTGTAACTATAAAAATAAACCGCAAGGCTCGAATAATCGTATCTCCTCTTCCAAAATTGTCCATTTTTGTGCGCAATCTGGGCGTCAATTGGAGAGACATTACTGTACCGCCTAAATTTTCGCTACTCATTGTGTTGTGCTTATTCTTTTAACAATAATAATAAATAATAATAATAATAATAATAATAATTATTATTATTATTATTATTATTACTATTATTATTATTACTACTATTATTACTATTATTATTATTATTATTCATAAGGATATGGAGAGGTTAGTATACAGCTACTAACAAAACAGTATAGCTAAAAGCCGATTAATAGGCTATCGGTCGATAAGCATTGGCAATCCAAAATCCGATTAACAGGCTAGCGGTCGATAAACATTGGCAATCGAAAAGCCGATTAACAGGCTAGCGGTCGATAAAGTGCTAGGACAACGCGGACAGGTGGTCCAGCTCGAATCGATGCAACGTTCGTTCGAAAAAAGCAGCGACGCGGCCGCCGGTTTCTACAGGCGCGACAGATATCCTGAGACTTATGAGCTGGAATGTGTTAGTGTTAGGAGACTGCACAGAGACTGCATGTTTCGTATCAGTTTTATTATCTCGTAGCAGAGACAGCGTCAACTGTTAAAGCCATAATCGGTAGCGGCTAACGATTCTCGGCCTAGCTCGATACTTAATTCTAGAGAAATTCACAATACTGTTTGCTGCAAGCTCTCGAAATTCATTTTACGAAGGCTGACTGAGATTAGCTGCGTTTCGAATTTGAATTATAATACATAATTGTTCGTGCGTGAACGTTAACGTCGGTAAGCTTATCAGAAATCGTACACATTATTAAATTCTTGGAAAACCTGACGCAACGTTTCTAATATTTTGGCACGCCAAAAGAGGCTATTTATAGCGTATAAAATTGGCCGACCGGATAACGTTGATACCTCAACTTCTTCGAGGGGTTATGCTCGTCACGAAGTTTCGAACAAATTCGGCGATTGACTCGGAAAAATCGTTGCAGCGGCTGACATCGCACCGTAATTAATTAACGAAAAAATTGTGGCGCTTTGATGCCGTACACATTTCTGATAATGCTTAATATTTTCTACTAATGATGTAACGATTAATGCTGCAACATGTAATCCTTAAGATGCAAAAAGAGCTACAGTAATGTCTCCCTTACTGACGCTCGGATTGTCCACTAAATTGGATAATTTGGGAAGAGGAAATACGATTATTCGAGCCTTGCGGCTCGTTTCTATAATTGTGGACAATTTATAACTATAAAAATAAACTCTCCATAAATTCTCTAAAAGAGAATTTATAAGTCGCGTTCTTTCCATTTCCTGATTGAGCATAACCTCCTGTGTAAAGGAATAAACACTTGGATTGTGAGGGAACATTTCAAGTATATGCAAACTGCTTTCGTACACTCGAATACAATATCGAGATCAACGAGGCCGTTTTACTCTGTAAAGCGTGCAGAAACGACTGAACGTTTCTGAACAAAGAAACGTTGCCTTTAAAGAGAAAAGACTGGAGACCTGCTCAACTCTTTGGGCCACGGTGGGATTAAAAATGTGCCATCTTTTTGCTGCACGATAATGCATAGTGGGACATTTTTAGACCCTCCTAAAGATATTACAATACGCGTTCATGAACCCATGTGGCACGGTGGGACTACTTGGGTCCCCCTCCTCTGTAACAACAAATTGAATTGAATTATTATTATTTCTTTTTATTACGTTTTTATACTACGTGATTCGTTTGTTAACAAAAATATAGCAATTATGTTCAATTGAAAACGCGATGAAATGTCTGTGCCACATGGGTCTATTTTATTTTCTGAAATCCTGTGCCCCAAAGAGTTAAATCTCCAAACAAGCGTCACAGAAAGTTAGCGTATACAAGCTATATATTGGGTTGGCAACTAAGTAATTGCCGATTTCAGTTATAGATGTCTCTCACTCCCATTTTTATGACATCCGTAAATGTTATATTATAAAATTAATAGTATTATTATTATTATGTTATTTTTTATTATCCGTGAATGTTAGCAACTGGACAAATTGAATGCAGCGGTCAAGGAAAAGCGACCAGAATCGGTCAATCGTAAAGGTGTCATTTTCCAGCAGGACAATGCTAGGCCGCACACGTCTTTGTCCACTCGGCAAAAATTGATGGATATTGGTTGGGAATTGATGTTACACCCACCATATAGCCCTGATCTCGCGCCAACGAATTACCACCTATTTCGATCCCTGGACAACTCCCTTCGTGGTAAAACTTTTAACGATGATGACGCTGTAAAATCTCACTTAACTCAGTTTTTGGTCGAAAAGGGTCAGACTTTCTACGCGCGTGGAATTTTCAAGTTGTCAGAGAGATGGCAAAAGGTCATCGAACAATATGGAAAATACATTACAGATTAAACTGCATTCCAAGTAAAAAAGAATTTTTTATTTCATCGAACAAATCGGCAATTACTTAGTTGCCAACCCAATATTTCTGTTTATCCTCTTCGAAGCTCGTCTCCATAATTCAACGACGTTAGAAAAATAATATTCTGCTCTATTAAAATACTATATACGGTGTTCCGAATATACAGTAATGTCTCTCCAATTGGCGCTCGGATTGTCCACAAAAATGGACAATTAGGAAAGAAGAGATACGATTACTCGAGCCTTGCGGTTCAATTTTATAGTCACGAATTGTCGACAATTATGAAAACGAGCTGCAAGGCTCGAACGATCGTATCTTCTGTTTCCAAATTGTCCATTTTTGTGCACAATCTGAGCGTCAGTTAGGGAGACATCACTGTACGCGGAATCTGCCGGTTCCGAGACGGCGTGGCGCGTTGCACGGTTTATCGTTCCTTAAATTCTAGTCGTTCCGGAGTACATAATTTCACGGGGAGACTCGTCTTAAAGGCTAGACCAAGGCATTCCGGACGTGTGGTTACACAATCGTGGACGAAACCGTGGTAACTGAATGACGAATCCATTAGCACCGAAGGAGCTCGCGCGCGAGCGATTTTATTGCGTTCGCAGAAAGAAGTTGCTTGGGCTAACGAGGTCTCGCCGTACGAACGCCTCGAGCCCGAGTTAACAACCAGCCTGGTTGCATAACCGGGGCAATCGTTTCTATCGCCCATAAATAACCTAATTTCCTTAAACAAGGATGGGTTCGAGGTAGCATTAGAGCCGGAGTCGCATCGCGCGCAACGGGAGAATCGACGGGGTTGCGCAACGTGGTCGCGTGCACACGGTCTCAGGTACTTAGAATAATAGGCATCGTCAGGTACTCACGTCGATCCGGAAATTACGCAGAATATCCTCTAGGCACTTCTCGTGATCCTCCGTAATTTTCGTGATTTTCTCCCTCTGCCGTACCCAGAGCTCGGCGCGCACCTCGTCGAACTCTTTCTCCAGCTCCTTCTTCAACGTCTCGATTCTCTCGTTGTGCTGTTTCGTCAGCTCTATCTCGCTGAGCTTGGCGAGCTTCTCCTCGCCCAGGTCGCGCTCGTGCTCGTCCTCCAGCTTGCCCATCTCCTGGTTCCTCAGCTCCAGCAGCTCCTTCTTCCTTTCGTCCAGTTCAATCTTCAAGTTCGTCAGAATCTCTTGCCTCTCCTTCTCGTAGCAGACCTCCAACTCGGCCTTCACTTTCTTTAGGTTCTCCAGCCTCGCCTCGTCCATCTCAGCGATCAGCTTCTGAATCTCCCGTTCCTCCTGAAAGATCAACATGAAAATTAGTCGGAGCTCGACGAGGAAGGGTCGATCCTGAAGAAATCTCTACCTTCTGAGCAATATCGATCCTCAGCTGCTCCAACCTATCGTTCATATTCTTCTCCAAGAGCTCCTTCTGCGCCGCGAAGTCCTCCTCGAGGTCCCATCTCGTCTTCTCCAGCTTCTCTTCGTACTCTTTCTTCAGCATTTCGATGTCCTCCTCGTGCTCCTTCATCAGCTGCGCCTTCGTCTCCTCGTAACTCTTCAGGCCGCCGCTCTCCTGCCCCGGGAAATCCAGATCCTGATGCACCTTCGACATGTCCGACGTGTCGTCGTCGTCGGTCTGCCTCTCTTTCGAGAACCTGATCGCCGGCTTCTTCGGCTTGCTCTTCCGCCGTACGTTCTTCACGTTGTCGATCTTGTTCGGCTGGTAGTCCAGGCTGCTCTCGATGGACATGCTGTCCCTCGACAGGCTTTCCCTGGCCATCTGATCACGATGCTCGTTCTCGGAGACGTTCTGAACGACGAACCTCTTGCCGACGATCTTCGCGTTCTTCGTCGACGGCTCCGGCTTGTCCGACGACGAACTCTTCCCGGTGTCCTCGTCAGGCTTGCTCTCCGAGTCCTCTCGGTTCTCGGGGTCCTCTTTGTCGTCGAAGCTTTGCCCGTCGGAGCTTTCCGCGGACAGAACCGAGCCGGTGAGCTTGTTCGTCACCACCGCGGATATCCGGACGTTCTGCTCCTCCGATTCCGAGTCCCAGTCCTCCTCCAAATACATGAACTTGATGTCCATCTCCTTCGATATGTCGAATCGGACGCTTTTACGCTCCTCGTCAGCTGGTCTGTCATCTGCCACACGCGAATTCAAGTTAGGATTTTCATCTCGGAACATTCATTTGGTTACGATTCCTCGAACCTAAGGAATGATACGAACAATGGCCGGAGGACTCTTTTGATAACGATGAATAGTCTGGATCTTCTGAATCTATTGAATGATGTTGCAAAATGTTGTGTCATATCTTTAGTGAACTTAACAACTGGAAAATAGTATATCAAGATGTTCTTCAATTATTTTCGTTATTCTACTGTTTTAACCGTTCGAGTCCCAAGCAGCGCGATCGCGCTGTTCAGATCTTGTATCGCGATCAAACTTTAGTGACGCGCGTACATCGCATAGCTGCTTTTTTTCATTTCTTTTTCTTTTCGTTTCGTTTGTCAATCTTGACGAGCGCTGTCGCGCCGCTTGGTTCTCTTCGCAATCAATTAAAACAAGCGTTATTACGCTGTTCGCCACTTTTCGACCGTGTTTTCTGAATATCCCCTGGGACTCAAACGGTTAAGCGATACAATTCTCTCGTATTGGCGCTCAGATTGTGCGCAAAGATGGACAATTTGGAGAGAGGAGAGGCGATTATATTCGAGCCTCGTGGCTCGTTTTTATAATCACCGATTATCAACAAGTATTAAAATGAGCCGCGGGGCTCGAATAATCGTATCCACCTCTTCCCAAATTGACCATCTTTGTGTACAATCTGAGCGTCAATTAGGGAGAATTTACTGTAATTGTTTCCGTAATCCGTTGCTGTGTTAATAGTAATCTGTTTTAGGTATCAGTGTTACTGTTCTTGTAAGTATTACCTGAATTAACTTATTAAGAATCTGCCCACTTGCGATAATATTTAAGCATTCAAGCAAACGTAGACAATGAATACCAAATTTCTTATCTTCTAAGAAATGATTGCAATCGAACATTTTCTAATGATCGCAACTGCAACGACAATGTAACAACTATTTTCGTCAAAGAAAATTATTCGCTTCTATTAGGTTGGTCGGTGTGAAATGTCGGATTTTTAAGTGAATATATAAAACTGCATATCTTTTTTCCAGAAGCTGTTTATTTATTTTATTATTATAGATGCCTGTCTTAAAGAAATTCTGATCTTCAGAATCGATAAACTCTGATACGAAATTTTTCAGGCTGTCTTCATTTTCATACCGTTTAGCCCGTAAAAACTGTTCTAAACGTTTAAAAGAATGAAAGTCGGTTGGCGAAATATCCGGCGAATAAGCTGGCTGCTGCAAAATTTCATATTTTAATTCATTTAATTTCGCAATTGTTTTGTACGACGTGTACGGTCGAGCGTTGTCGCGGAGAAGTATCGGGCCACGCCGATTAACAAGCGATAAGCGTATAATTTTCAATTTTTCATGCGTTTCATCGTTGTACCGGCAGTACTTTTCGGCTGTAATTGTCTCTTCAGCTCGAAGGAACGAATAGCGAATTACTCCAGTCACATTCGTTTCCAGCAATGCTTTCGGAGCATCATTTTTCACAGACGTTTTGGGTCTCCCACGCGGTTCATTTTGTAGGAAAAAGTCACCGGACCGAAAATTTTCAAAGCAACGCTACACTTTTCAATCGTTAATTCTCCCCGAACGCCTGGTTTATATTGCGCGCAGCTTTCGCAGCATTATTACCAAGTTTATACTCATCTAAACAAATTACACGAATATCGGTTGAATTCATATCCCTACGAAATTCAAAACAAACAACAAAATGGAGCACTTTTGAGAAAATCTCCTTCGTCGAAACGTGACTCTGGCAATGTACGGTACGACTATAAACGAGATTACGCCAAAAACAAAAGCATTAACGAAATCAGAGCGACAAACGTTCGCATGTAAAGAAAATCCGACGTTTCGTACGCACCAACCTAATACTTCGCAAGTTCCGTTCAAATGAAACGAACGGGGCCAACACGTTCGAAACGGGACCCGCTGTAAAGTCTCATAACTCTTTCAATTCAGGCTCTCAAGAACATCGTAAACAGATCTTACCATCCTCCGACTGCTTCTCCCTGAGAATGGACTTAAGCCTGTCTCCCCCAACGGTGGTGGTGTCGTCGCTGATCGTGACGGCCCGGAAGTCGTCGAGCTTAGCAGCCTCTTGACTGGGCGTATTATCTCTGCTCCTGTTGCTCTTCAGAAACATCGTGCCCCCGCCACTCAACGTGAGCTCCTTCTGCTGGCCGAACTGGCTCGGGTGTTTCTCTTTGTCGAACTTCTCCGTCTTCTCCGACTTGAACAACGTGGAAGCGCTGAGTTTGTCGATGTCGATGATACTCTCCTCGGGGCTGAACTTGCAGGACAGCTGTTCCCACTTCTCGTTCCTCGGGCTCAGGGACTCGGACCTCTTCAGAACCTCTTTCAAGTCCAGCTCCTTCGCGGAGGGCGTGGCGGACACCGTCGACGCCGACGGGGACGCGACGTTCTCCAGAAGCTTCGGGCATTCGTAGAACATAGGGTCCTGGAACTTCAGGTTGGTGTAGTCTCTGGCGGCCCTGTCGTTCGCCAACGGGGTGTCCGGCTTGTCAATTTGCAGCTTAAGCGGCTTCTCTTGGGTCAGGCTCTCCTTCCTTCGCGCACCTTCCAATTTCTCCGGCTTTTTCAGCGGTGTCAATTTCGTGGGGATCCTGGTCGGCGGCAAGCTGATCTTGCTGGAGCACTTAGTCGGGTCCTTGGAAGAGGACGCTTCTTTGGGCAACGTCGCCTCCTCGTGCGACTCTAGTTCCTTGGCCGTTGTCTTCGAATCCTCTTCTGCCGATCAGAAAACATAAATCTTTGTAACCTTCCGCTACCTCGCCGAGCTTCCCGCTGAACAGATGACTCTAACGATGATCATGCCCGATGATTATGTGAAATGTTTTCGCCCGTTGAATCGCGAGAATGGTGGAAGAATGTGAAAGGATTTTCCTGTATTCGAATTTTCCCTTTGCGGTCGAATATTAAAATATTTCGTGCAGGAAACTACGTCCCCCGAAGTTGTTTCGACGCTGCGGAGGAGGAAATGTCGAAAGAGACGGGAAACCGATACTTCGTGGATCAGAGAAACGCAACCTTTCCTCGATCGCGATGGCCCTCTCGAGGGAAAGAGGCGACAGTGTCAACGTTCCCTCGAGTGCGAGTCAACGACTGTGTGTGTTTTGCGTTTCTCCATCTCTCTCCCTCTCTTTTCTTTCACCGCAGAAATAACAGAGACAGCAACGAAATGGATAAGAAAATACGCCTAAAAGCCTGGAAAACAGCACGGAAGCGATTATTATGTATCAACGAGGAGTCCTCTCGACGCGTCTAGAAACGCGTGCTCCCCTTTTTCTCCGCTTTTCCGCGCGCCTTTTGCGACCGCCGAGAACACTCGGCTCTCTTTCGCTCTTTTGAACCCGCGCTCGCAACTAAATAGCGAGCAATGATCGATAAACATTTATATATATGTATAAATGTTTACCTCAACATATATATGTACATTTGCAGTGTGAGTTTAGCAAGTCACTACATGGACGGAGGAAAGGTCGGAAGTATGAATGTATACAGGGACCCACAAAAGTGTTCGTACACCTTTTAAAACGCAATAACTATTTTAACGCTCTGCGCTCGAAGCCATCTTTTAACTATAAATTTAAAATAATTTTTCTGAACATACGATAAAGTGTATTTTATGCATACGAAATTGAATCTCGTGATTCATACAACAGTTGCAGTTTTAATAGTGTTTAAAATCTAAACTTCGATGATGTAAAAATGATCTTAGAACGTGATATAACAATTTTAGTCACCACTCGAATGCAAAGGTTTAAAACTGAACTGTATGACTCAAACTTTGACGATGATTAAAATGATTTTTTTCTGATATTGCTATTACTTGGAATGACGAAAAAGAAAATAAAACTTTAAGCAAGCAAATTACATTCTTGTAACATGTCACAATCGCGATGAAACATGCAACTATACCATTGTACGGTGGGTAAAAAAAGTAATCGTACACCTTTATAAACCCAATAACTTTTTTAAAATTGCGCTAAAAAAATTCGAATTTTTTAAGATGGTAGTACTAGATAATGATTAAAGTATGTTTTCAATTTAATTACAGTATTAATTTAATTTGATTAATTTAGAATAGCAAGTAATAATAATAACTAAATAATGATACATTAATTTAGTTAAAATTTAATTAAAGCATTTCATGACAGAAAAAGATAGAAAACTCGATCTACAAAAGGCATTTTTTAAATCTCCGTTATAAGCTCAGATAAAGAATTTAAAAATCGTGGGTTTTTAATTTTTTATTTTCAATCCAAGTAATAGCAAAATTAAAAAAAAGCTCTTTAGTCATCGTCCAGTAGACTAGTTCATCATCTAAAAAAATTCAAATCATTTAGGTCAATTCTGAAAAAGTTATTCCGTTTTAAAAGCAAATTTACGAACACTTTTGTAGGCCACTGTAGATAAATAATTTGAAGACAGGTAAGAGATGAATATCAAAATGATTTTACGACCAGTGAGAATTATCGACGATCTCGAACTGCTGCGGGTGGACTTCGGTGTCGTTCGGTAGAGACTCGCGAACGTCGATACCGGAAAAACCTCGGAAACTCCGTTCTTTGGACAGACATTTAATCCTCAGCTATTCGCCAAGCAAAAACGAAAGAGCCGCAGGGTGAGAACTGCCAACAAATATTGACATTTCGCGCTCGCGCGCAATTTTGTCTTCGCCGAGTCGACCGCATCCGCGGTTTTAAAGAAAACCGCCGACCACGCGGCAGCTTCTAATCCGACGCTAATGATTACTACAAAATGACGCGCCGTTATCCTTGCGAATCCAAATATTTGCCGCAAACAAACAGTCCAACAAAATTGTAATTTTGTTCTGCTCTCGGCGCCTTCCTATTTGCCGACGTTGCTAATGCGGAAAACAAATTTGTCTTTGATCGCGTTCTGTTTTCTCGTCTGTGACTGAGGAAAATATTTGAAAAACCGTGCACACTAGAAATTAGAAACCGGGATGTGGATACTGTGGAAATATTTGTTTTCGCTACGATGCCACAAAACATGATTTGTCGATCCAGTTTTTCTCGGCGTTGCATGTTTTAGGCGAAGCTGCTTGGTCTTTTCGAAAATTAGTGGATTAATATTAGTATGATATATATCATACTATATATTATATTAGTATATTATTATTATATATACTTATATGTAAATTAATATAATATAATATTAAATTAAAATTAAAATTAAATTAAATTTAATTTAATTTAAATTATAATATAATATTAATATTACATTAATATAATATAATATATATATATATAATAATAATAATAATATACTGATATAATATATAGTATGATACTAATACTAATACTAATATAATATATTAATACTAGTAGCATACTAATATCATAGGATTAGCATTGGATTATTGTTCTTCTATAGAGTGCGTCTCTGGCAAGTTCTAATTTTATGAAAGTACACAGAAAAAGAGCGAAGTAAAGACGCTAGAGAGAGCATTTCAACAGTGAAGATGTGAAAAGATTCTAAAAATAATCCGTGTGCTGAAGTTTAACTTTTCAGCCGAACGTTAATTAACGAAGCTACCTTAATTTTTCTAGACGATGATACGACTGCTGAAGTGTTCATTCTCAATTAGCTGGCTATTTCTCCATGCATTCTACATATACGTATGTTTCCTCAGAGAATAACGTTTTTTACATATTGTCCTAAACGGGGAAAACCTCTGATGAAATACGTGATGTCACTAAAACGTTATTCCTGATAAATATGAGCGCGTTAATTTAAACTAATGTTTAAATTATTCGTAGCATTCTTGACAGACCTCGTCCGACTAATCAAGACCAAATAAAAACTTGAAAAATTACTAGTGGACGATCGCGAACACGAATACCGAATACCGCGTGTTTTTAGAGTTGCGTGGTTGCGCACATTCTACACATTGCGAACATTCTACCATAGGCGTAGTATGTATAGGCATTCTAGCTCATCCTTTCTATGAACGAATAGTCTGTTTCCCTATAGTTCGATCTTCCTACTCAGTCATATATTGATTTCACAATTCTTCATTGATTTTTCGTTTACTTCAAATTATCTTAAGTGATTAGTGCAGTATTGAACAGCTAAAGACAATAGTTTCTACTGAATTGGATTGCTTTTGATTGATCGGATTGCTCACGTCTGTACAATCGCATTTAATACGATCGATAATTGGAAAAATTCGATAGAATTTGATGAATACGATTTCGGCTATAGCTTAATCCAAAGTTAAACTATCCTCTTTACGTATCGCGTACGGCAAACGGTACGATTATCCCGGATTAATCTAATAATAACTGTAGCAATCCTGATCTTGATACTATAAAGTAAAGGCTCACGATATCTTTTATTCTATTACCTTATATCTTATATTTATTATCTATTTTATCTTCGATAAAATTGAATAGAACTTAGAAAGAAATTATGTCGTCAACATATATGAATCTCAAGCAAAACTCCTCTCTTTGTGCATCGTTTGCTACAAATACAATTTACTTCTCGACAAAAAAGTCATTTCTAGAAGTCCAGATATTGATTCTATAAAATAAAAGTTTTCGTAACACATTGAAAAAGTCGAATACAATGTAATAGAAGTTATTTCGACTACAAATTCATTTAAAGCAAAACGACCACATACAGTAGATTCTCCCTAATTTTTCTTTAGTTTGTAAACAAAAGTAGACAATTTGGGAAGAGGAGATACGATTATTCGAGCTTCGCGGCCCATTTTTATAGTTTCTGATTGTCAACAATTATAAAAATACAATGACAATAATCTCAAAATATTATAATATTACAAATAAAATATTATAAATATTATAAATATTATAATATTAATAAAATACTATAAATATTATAAATATTATAAATATTATAATATTAGTAAAATATTATAAATATTATAAATATTATAATATTAATAAAATATTATAAATATTATAATATTAGTAAAATATTATAAATCTTAAAATATTAAATCTCTAAAATAATTTCAAAAATCTCTTCCCAAATTGTCAACAATTGTTTACAAGCTCAAGAAACTTAGGGAGAATTTACTGTACACGCATCGCGCGCGCGTATCAAAAACCCAATTAATCTCCCGATAATCTACTATCAATTCCAGAGATCTCGATTTCTATAAAATGAAAGGTCTCGCAACAAATCGAACACATCGAACAGAATCTATCAGAAAGTCGGGACCGCATAAATCCATCCGAAGTAAAACCACCCCCGGTACGCTCACTGCGGCATACGGCCGCAATTAATTCCCGGCCAAGTTAATGCACCCGGATCAAATTGACCGGAGCCGTGCGAATGTAACAAAAATTAGAACGCGGCGCATGAGGGGTCGAGACTACTCAAGAAGACCCAGGGCTTGGCCCAGTTGCGTGGGACAGCCAGTGTACGTGTGTGCCTGGGTGCCGGGTGCTCCCTTTCAATGCAGCTCGCGTCACGATCCCGACGCGACGCGACGCGACGCGTCGGTAGCTCGCCGGTGAAAAAGCGTCATCCCGGCAACAATTCGCGTCCGATACGGCGGCGCGATAATTGGACGGATCTACGTTTCAAGCGACTATTACGTACTTTCACGAGCGAGTGCGCCGGCACGTGAGTGCCTTAACGAATGTGTCGCACGGCCGCCAGCCGCTCGAAAAGAGTTTCAAGGGCTCTCCGACGAGCGACGACGTCGTTCGCTCGTCGGCCTATACGAT